GCTCAATAAGAGCAAAAGATGAAATAAAAATAGAAAAAAATAGACCACTATTTCATTTTTATATATGTTCCACCCGAGGCTGGCTACTTGCATGCACAACCTGGTTCATGGAATCAATAGTTTAGATGTTTTGAGGAAAGTTTGAGCATTCAATGCATTGTTTTTAATCCTCAACTTCTTTTATTTCTCTCAATTTCCAATTGGATCTTCATTTAATGGAATGAAGGCCCAGTGTTGTTGCTGTCTTCTTTGATTTCTCTTGATTACCAAATGGATCTTCAATTACACTAACTACTCTAGATCAAATACCCTAATTATTGCTTAATGCTACATTTTGTAATACAATAAAAACTAAAATATACATAATACTCAACCACAAATGGTTTAATGAGGAAGCGTAGAATATCACAAGTACCAAAATGTCAAACAAGTCTTAAGAATAAAATAAAAATTTAGCACTCACCTGCCAGGTAAAAACTTTGTCAACTCTGCCCACTTGTTTCCATAAATTTGATGAGCATGAATGAGGGCTATCTCCTCTTCCTGGGTCCATGCATCCTTGTTGATTGCAGGATTAAGATGATTATGCCACCTACATAGGCCAATTATTTGAAATTAACATAAGGAAATAATTATTGATTTATTTCAAATAAACTGTATAAGAATTATTTTTAAAATTTTTTCCTTCAGAAGTTGAATCGAAATTAAGTAGGATCAAAGAATACATCAACATCAATAAAAAAACATACAATCTAAAGTAAATGAAAGTGATGAGTTCAAAATAATAAATTCTCCTGCTTAAGGTAGCATGATAATAAAGAAGTGTTGAAAGTTTACAGTAGTCATAAGAGCTGAACACGCCATAGAAGCTTCTTAGTAAAAAAAAAAAAGAAAGCCAGTGTAGTATTGCCAACATAAGAACTTCCATTAACTTAATTATTTCTTTTTTATCATCGTTATATTTTAGTTTATCACCTTCCCTTCCCTAATTTTTGGCTATACTCATACTTTATGTTGCTATTAAATATCAAAACATCATTGTTTTATTTTGTAGAAAACCTTTGACCCACTTCCTTTGCTGATGCCACCACCTCAAGGATTCCCCCACTTCTGCCCGCTTCCTTCCTTGATGCTGAACACCTCATGAATCCATAACTACTGCAATTCATAAGAAGATTTCAAAGACCACAAAAAGGTGTCGTGTAGTTAAAGAAAACCAAGGACAAAGGTAGGCCTATCACAAGGATGCTTAAGAAATTGCTGAATCTCACAACTCCATATCAGTCTCAAGGGAGTAATTAAGTAGGGGCTGCCCAAGGTTGCGAATTAAACATGGATATAATGCTATTCCTTCATTAGTGCTGAAGAAAAAAGTTATATGCAAAATAGTTTACCATAGCATTGAAATCTCTGAATAAATTCACAGCTTGCAATTACATTTAAAAACTAGTAATTAGAAATTTACTTGTTAAGGCTTTAATTGAAAAACAAGTTTCCGTTCATAACCTCTTAAAAATTACGGTATAAAAAGCATGCTGCTCTGTAATTTTATTAATCAAGAAGAAATTATCCATTAAAAACATTTCTTGCAAATTTCATCATTTGTCCTTGGTATTATAAACATCTAAATAATTAGCACTTGGCATCAAACAATAGGCTGATTTTGATGAGAGAATAGATGATGCTTAGAGGTATGTTTCCATATTCCACGATTTACCGTCTCCCTCATTGGTAAGCAAATACATTTATCATTTAAAAGGGTATAACTGATTACGTTTATTGCTCCACTTTCAGATATAAACATCCATTTTGTCAATAAATATACAAAATTGCCAGTTAAGACTAAGGGACAAGGGAAGAAGTTTAAAAGTGGTATAAAATTTTTTCTCCTCAACCTTAAGTAAATACCTCTCACGACATTGCTTCCCAATGCGTCCAGGTAGAGCTTGTGAAATTGTTGACCATTTCTTCGGTCCAAACTTGTTTACCATTTCAATTATAATTTCATCTTCCTGTTAAGAAGATCAAACAAACAAGTTTTATTTATTTATTAATAACTCCCATGCAGATGGAAGAAGAGCATCAAGGTAGCTTCATAAATAATAGAATACCTCCTTGGACCATGGTCCTTTAACAAGAGCCGGATTTAAAACCTTCTGCCATCTGTGCAAGCATTGTACATCGGTCCTATCTGGGAAACATTCCGCTGCAAACCCGAATTTACCAGATAAAACCAAAATAGTTGAGCACAAAAAAATTCAAAAAGTAGAGATCAAGAAAAGAATACTTATAGGAGTTGAAGAAAGAACAAGACAGTAGAAGAATGTCTCCAGAAGGTGAAAAAAGAAGTTCTAACAAAAAGAAGGGCATCTTCACACATACTAATAGATTTTTCCATTCATCTCCTATGAAGTATGGACTCTTAGACCCATATTTTGTTCCTATTCATTGTCTATGGATATCTGCATCTGTTTTGGCAATTTTTGCCCGCCTACCAACTCCAGATCTAATAAGATATTCATTCACAATCTTGAGTAGCATGTTTATAAGGTTCTTAAAATAATCATGCAGCGGATATATAATGGGTGATTGATATTATTTTAAATTTTGCTTGGCCAGTGTAGATTTGGTTCTATTAACAATCTTTGGTCAAAATAATAAGGCAAACCCACTAATTTTATCTTAATAAATTGATTTTCTTTCGGAGATCATGCTTGTGCCTTTCAAACAACTCATCTAACTTATCTTTCCAAATTAAAAATAACTTAAATTTATGCCTCCTGTAAAATGTGGGCCTATTATGTTAATACTCTAGCGGGCACTAATGTCAAGAACAATACTCAAATTATTTTTTATATATGATAGTCTTTGGAGTATTAATTCAAGTCTCAAATCATGCCTCGCACTATTATTTCTATATACAATGCAACATTTACATGCCAATATGTTTGAAAAGCAAAGATGAAATTAGAAAGGAGTTAAAACCTATTTATAACAATATGTTTGGAGAGTGGTGTATATTATTTTGCACCTTAGAATATTGTATAATTAGGAGATCTGTTCTGAATTGTATACAATAATTTCATACTTTAACATGGTATCAACTTAGGTCAGCTCTTTCCGAAGCACCCCAATCCCCCACTCCCCCCCAAAAAAAACTCTTTATACTCTCTTATTGTCATGATCATGCCACTAGCAGCACTCACCACACTCGCTTGTGCACTCTCCCACACAGCAACACTCAGCTGCTCTCTCGCCACACAACTACCCACACACATGCTATGCTCGCCACAACTACCCACACACGGTATGCTCACTCGCTCACTAGACGTTGCCTGCAACCCTAAGTCATTACTGTCTCATGACTCACTTGATGGATATGATCTAAGATTTCCTCTCTAATTATCATTTCTCTCAAACAGTCTCATGATTTCTCACTCACATCTCAATGAGTAGATACCCTCCACCATTGATATCACAGAAAATTCAATGAAAACAGTCATCTTCTATGATTGAGAGCCTATCAGTTCTTTGTTGGTTTTCTTGTCAAAATCTATCATCTTGACGTCTGCAATACTCAAAATTCGCAAAGATAAAATCAAAATTTCAAACCCACTTTTCACGCTCCATGAAAATGATTAAAATTACTTTCTGTAAAATTACAAAATTTATAAGGATCATTTTGATATACATATGCATACAAAATACTGTTAGTATGCTATCTCATATAAATTAATTTGATATTCAAACTTAACTAACTTGTAGCTCAAACTAATGTCATGTAGCATTCTTAATAGTTTTTGATGTGTTTCCACCTAACTTTTCATGCAACTAGTGATGGAGATGAGAAATGGTTGCGATAATCTATATATATATATATATATTAAATAAAGTATAAATATGTTTATATATAAAAGCTAAGCACTAAAAATTTATTATCCATCCCTCCTACTATCGCATCTTGCTGAAGCTGGTAGAAATAGAGGGCTCGAGTAAGAGCTAGGCTGGAGAAGAAGAAGAAGAAGAAGAAGAAAAAGAGAGGAAGAAGGGGAAGGAAAGGAAGGGGTTTTGAGGTAAAATCCAATTTTTTTTATTCCTTTGACACGAGGACATCAATTTGAGGTTAAGTATTGAGGTTTGTTTGAGGAGACGTAATCTTGGGTAAAAAAGATAGTTTGAGGTTAAATTAATTTAAATTGAGTTGGAAATTAGGAATTGATACATAATAAAAAAAAAAAAATTGATCGGGCACGAATCTCGAGGCAAAATCAAGTTGGAAACTTCCAAAGTTAAAATTGGGACCATTCGAAATCCAATTTCAACAAACTTATAGTCGAACTAAGCGTCATGGAATTACGAACCCAACGGCACCAAAATCAACTCAATCCGAGCCCAAATGATACAAATCAAAGACCCGAAGCACCTTCAGAAGGTTCAAACCGCAATTCGTATTACAAAACGGTTTCCAAATATGACATACTTATAGTGAGCGGCTCGGCGACACGAATCCAATGACCCAAGATTGTCAAATTCTGATATCGTTAAGTCAGTCAAATGTCCAACAAATGATGCATGATCAAAGGAATCAACATCGGTCGTCCATTCAAACCACTCCAACTTACCCTTGATCTTCCATATATTTACAAGCCATGACACTCTAGAAATTTTATAAATATGACCCATACCTCTCATGAAAAGGGACCCAAGCTTGACTCCAGATTTCTGCCGGACCACCGCCTGACGCAGGAGTTCCGTCAGACCATCGACTGATGCCGAATTTCCATCAAACAACCTCCTGACGTCGGATTTTTGCTGGAACACCGCCTGACACTAGAGTTTTATCGGATCATCAACTGACGCTCGAATTTCTGTCGGACCACCGCCTGATGCCGGAGTTCTGCCGAACCACTACCTGACGATGAAGTTACGTCGGACCACCAACTGACGCCCAAACTTCCAAGTGGCATCGGACTTTCGCTGGACCACCAAGTGACACCGGACTTTGGCTGGAACTGTTTTGTCACTAGACTTCAACCAGACGGTTGACATTTGTAATCTGATCGCCTACAAGGATGAATCAACCAACTATACTCTGTTCAAATACTAGTGGAATCATTTTCAACTGGGCTAGACCCCGTGGTTTTCCCCCTTTCCAAATATTTCCACATAAAAAATCTTGTGTTCTCTGTGTGAGCTGGATATCTGTACAACACTAAGATGTAGAATTAGAACTCTATCGCCGCGTATATTCTAGCCCGCAACAGTTTGGCGCTGTCTGTGGGAAGGACAATCCCACGATCATAAGCACGACTTCAATGGCCAACAGACGTAGCAATCACATCTTGGGAGCCTCTCTGATGCAAATGAAAGATTTGCAAAATCTAAAAAGACAAAAAAAGACTTCCTTTCTTAACATTGATAAACAAAGACACTACGATTGCAAAATAAAAATAGACTTGTCTTCCTTAAACTTAAATACTAAACAAGACAACAATATTATTAAAAACAAATACTCACTACAACTTATAAAGCTTGAGAAGAAAGATACATATGGAGTGGATAGCATGGAGAGAAGAAGGAAATCAGAAGTCCAAGACAAAATAAAAGAGGAGAAAGGGAATGGGGACTTAGCTCGCAAGCTAAAAAAACCTGTAGATTTTTACATTCCAAATATTTTTACCAAAACCCTCTCTCTAACAACATCTAACATCTCATTTAAATAGGGGAAAGGAGCTCAAAAGACACCCAAAGCAACCGCCCCATTCAGCCAACTAGAACACAGGAAAAACCCAAGAGAAAAGGCACGACAGATCCTCTAACCGAGCAGCTAGACCCCTAAAAAAAAGCTAGAATCGAAATAGCCAGGAGCAGAACAAACACCAAGAAAAGGAGCATTGCAGCTCTGGAATCAAGCAGCAAATGCTAAAAAAAAAGCCCCCAATCAGCCATAACACTCCAAACACCAAACAACCAAAGATTCATGGGCCAAGCCCATTACAAGAAAAAACGGCCCACCACTAAATGTCCATTGTGCCTACATCACTCTCCCTCCAACTCATGCCAATCCAGGAATCAGTTCCTGAATCAGGGACGCCAAGCGTTGGCCTCTTTTCACCCCGGAGGGCAAAATGTTGTAGGGGAAGGAACGTTGGGACCATCTATGGAAGACCGCATCAGAAAAATAGAGGAATCGCAGAATGAGATCCTGCAACTTCTACAAGAGATCCGACAACCGATGCTAGCACACTAAGAGGAGTTCATTCTCCCTCGAGATCCATCATTGACTGAAGGTTTCAACCTGAACATCTCCATGCAGACATTTCTCATCTCCAATCAAGGAGTCGCCGCAGAACACAGCAAGACATCGACCTTGTTGACACTGCTAGCTCCACCAATCCTTCTCACCTAGATCGGCCAGTCTGCATTTTGCTGGACTTCCCTGAAGGCATGACCCAACCTCACATTGCCAACCTCCCACGCAACGTCCTACGCCATGAACTGCAGCGATTGGTTAGAGAAGAGTTTCCTATAAGAGGTGGAAGACAATCTATTAATTAGTGGGATTTCCAGGAGACCACTCCCCTGACTGAGGCCATCCTTCAATACCCCATTCTTACAGGATTCAAACTACCAAGCATCGATTCTTAAGACGAGACATTTGACCCTTATGAGCACATCGTTTATTACAGAATTATCATGCATATCCAGAGAACCTCAGATGCGCTCCTCTGTCAAGTTTTTACCGCCACTCTCAAAGGGCAGGCTCGAACATGGTTCTATTCGCTAATAGACGAAACCATTCCTATGTTCGTCAAATTGGCCAAAGTGTTCGTAGAACAATTTTTTGCCAATCAGAGAATGGTCAAAGATTCTTCTCGCATCTCTGGGATTCGACAAAATGAAGGAGAATCGCTTAAAAAGTATTTTCAACGATTTTCCACCGAGTCTCGGCAAATTCCAGGAGTAGATCCTGAATTGTTGAGAGGTGTTTTCCTTAGAGGCCTTCATCCTGGTCCCTTTTACTCGGCACTTATACGAGACATGATTCCTTCGTATGCTGACCTGATCCATCGTGTGAAGATACAAATATCAATAGATGAAGCAATCAATGCTCAAAGGAAGCAATTTGAGCAAATTCCTGGAAAGTATAAAACTACCCATACAATGGAAGACTCATGCTTACAACGAAAGAAAAACCTGCCTCCT